CACACACACACACACCCACACACACACACACACACACCCACACACACAGAGTAAACCTACATTTGTTTTTTGGTGCTTTATCGGGGTCTATTTACTTGCACTATCAAAATACACCTGACCCTGTCCTAGTTTATTAGTCACAGTTTTTAGCAAAATCCAATGCAATCAGGCTGTCTGCTAAAGATGCCCCCCCCCCCCCTCTGGCCCCCATGCTCTTTTCCCGTTCTGAATGCCTGTATTTCTCTTCCAGAGCTGCCGTGTTTGTTCTGACTGCGGCTTCCGCCCATCCTCATTGGAGTCCAGCATTCAGTGGTACGAGAACTACTCTCTGTGTGAAGGATGTCGCGAGCAGCGCTGCAACAAAGCGAACAGTACAGAGGCTGTGCAGCACAGTCCGGAGTGAGTTCCTTCAGCTGAACTAAATCCCCATGTCTTTGGCCTCAGTTAAATGGCTTGTCTGCACTGATGGCTTACCTTGTTTTCTGCTGCTGAGGGTGATTGCAAGACATGTTTGCACTGAAAATAAATCGAAGCCTCATATAATAAGTTACAGGACCGCCTATCCTTGGCATTCACCACATTCAGCACATTCATGCATCATGTCATATGGGATCGTTTTATCTTTTAGGCTTTTAGACTTTTTCTTGATTTCATCAATTCTGTCCAAGTCGCCTTCTCAACCGTTCACTCTTCCTTCATGTATTGGTTTTGTGATTTGGTATACATTCGTCCTTTGTATTTGAGTCCAAACTACAGGTAGTCCTCAAATAACAACCACCTTTGAGCCCAAAATTTATCTTGTTAAGTGAGACATTTCTTAACCAAGTGTGGTCCTATTTTATGACTTTTCTTGCCACATTTGTTAAGTGAATTTCTGCAGTTGTTCACACGGTTGTTAAGTGAATCTGGCTTCCCCATTGGCTTGGCTTGGCAGAAGGTTGCAAAAGGGGATCACATGCAACCATCATAAAGGTGAGTCGGTAGTTAAGCATCCAAACATAAATCACGTGACCATGGGGATGCTGCAGCAGTCATAAGTGTGAAAAATGCTCATAAGTCACTTTTATCAGTGCTGTTGTATTTCCGAATGGTCACTAAATGAACTGTTATACGTCAAGGACTACCTGTATCTTAATTTGAATTTCATATTTGATCCGTATTCTCTTAACCACCTTATTCTTGACCTTAACTCTTGCCCTGTTTTACCACCCATACTTAAGTACTTCATTCCTACTACTGAGCATTCAACGTACTTTTGTTTTCCTCACTGTATAACAGAGGGAGCAGGCACATACTTTTATACCCAACTGTTTTTAGTTCTTTTGACAAACATTCACTCTTCACAACATACCATACGATTTCCACTACTTTCTAGCTGTATTTACAGCTCTCACATGTTTATGAAACATTCTACCTTTTTTTTTTTTTTTTTGCTTTTCACGGTGTATTTTTTAACTTGTAACTTACTTGCTCTATTTTCCCTGTCAAATATGCCCACTTCGATACATGAAATTTTCAAATCCATGTTCACTGTTGCATTGAACAGTTTAAGATTCATGGTCAGTCATTGTGGGTTTGCAGCTGATGTTGTGGCGTCCACTGCGGTACCTATAAAAAGGCAACATGGCATGTGATTTCTTTGTATATTCGTCCACAAATATTTCATTAGATATTATAAAAACCTATGCTTAACTGATGTGGAGAGAATTGCCATTATTTGTGCAGCTGAGTGAGAGGCACTCCAATTCTGCCAAGGTTGATTAAGTATCTGCTACTTGAACATCCTGTAAAGGGGTCCCTAAACTTGGCAATTTTAAGACTTGTGGACTTCAACTCCCAGAATTCTCCAGCCAGCATAGTCAGCAAGTCATGGAGACTTCTGCTGTAAAGGGATGTCTTTTAATCTTCTGTGTAAGCAATGATGGTCTGATAATGGTTCCTTTGGCCCATATGGAACTGGGCATCCAGATGCTTCTGGCAGAAGTTATGTTTTCACATGTTCTCAGTTTATAGGTTTGATTTTTCCACCTGGATTACTATTAAAATTGAGAGAGTATCTCCCCCTGGTGGAAGCTTATAATTCCTCTTCCATTGGCTATAGGAGCTCTCATTGCAATTGAATTTCCTATGCTTTATGAGTACAAAAGACATTGATGATAAGTTCAGGTTTTCACTTTAGATTGAAGGGATTTCGGGAGAATAGAACATTTCACTCTTTTAGATGAAACATCAGATTTTACAAGATCAAGGAAAGCAGAAATTTAGTTTCCCCTATTCATATTGACATAGATTTGTTGGATATTAGTCAGTTCACTCTTTGCTCCAAGTTAGAGCAAATTACCAATGCCGTTCGATAAATAATACACCAATACGAATGGGGAGAGACTAAATCTCTGCTTTCCTTGACCTCCAAATATGACTGTCGAGATCATCCTTTTGACACATTAGGCAGCTCCCTTGAGAAGGAGATAATGCTGGAAAAGATGCAATGAAAGGGAAGAAGAAGGCAACCAAGAGTGAAGTGGCTGTACCATATTTTTTAGAGTACAAGATGCACCGGAGTATAAGACACACCAAGATTTTGAAGAGACAAATTTTAAAAAAAGTTTTTGCATTATGCAGACCTCCCCAAAATGGCCCATTTTTTGTCAAAAAAGGGCATGCATAGCCTTTAGGAGGCTTGTAGAGTGCTCCTGGGGGCTGGGGTGTGTGTGCCAAAAGTGAGCAAAAACCAGCTCCCTTTTCACTCATTTCTTCCCTCCCCAGCCCCCAGGAGCACTCTGGAAGCACTCCTAAAGGCTATGCATGGCCATTTTGGTGAAGGGGGCAGGGTTTCGGGAGGCCAAAAATGCTGTATTCAGTGTATAAGACGCACCCAGATTTTCAGCCTCTCTTTGAGGGAGAAAGGTGCGTCTTATACACTGAATACAGCATTTTTGGCCTCCCGAAACCCTGCCCCCTTCAGCAAAATGGCCGTG